ACACACACACACACACACTAAAGTTAGAGACTATGCTTAAACAAATCAGACGCACTGGAAGAATTGGAATTACTTGCAGTTGTTTGGATCTGTTCCAGGATCTGTTCCAGAATCTGTTCCAGGATCTGTTCCAGGATCACAGTCTCTCCCTCTGTGTTTTTATAATGTCACTTTGACTTTTGACTTTATCCTTTTAAACATTTGTCAGAATGACATCATTTCTAACCACCAACGCTCCAGGTGAATGTTTGAGCCAAATCTGAAAACTTCCCTCGTGTTTTCCTGAGACGTGGAAACGAGCCTCGATTCACAGCAGGAAAACAACATGGAACAAGAAACAATAACAGAAGAAGGAAAGAAGTGTTTTGAAGGTTTTGAATAGCCACTGTGTGAATAAGTAGGTTCCTAGAACCCAAACTAAAGAAGTGTAGGAAGTTACTCAACAGTGATTCCTCGGTACTCTAACCAAACACTAACCAAAGTCAGCAGGGATGGAGAGAATCATGTCAGTGCTGCAGACCCAAACACCAGGAGGTGAACCAGGACAGATCTGAGTCAAAAACACAAAACCAACAGTCTGTGTAAACTACAGTGGCCCCAACAAACAACCCTGAGGAACACCACCACAACACAGTTATCTCCATTTCAAGTTTAGAAGCTGTCAGCGAGTATATTTTCACTACTCAGTGTTGTTGGTGGTTTGATTTTTGTCATCGTAATTTAAAATGTGAGGTTCTGAGTGAAATAAACGAAGACTGAGACAGACCTTGGTACTGAGTAAGTCCAGCAGCAGGTCCAGACAGCAGACCGGAGCCTGGACCTTCTGGTCGGGTTTCTCTAGAGGTAACCAGCAGAACGCTCTGCTGCAGGAGCTCCAGGGGAAATCTCGACCCTGCAGCATATCGACACCTGTTAGCAGCGAACAACACAAATCTAACTAGAGAAACAAAAACACAGCGGCTGACTGAACTCACGGTGTGGAGGATGAGGATGTGAGCATCATCCAGGACGTCAGCTGTCACCACCTGAGGATAGAGAACATCTTCATTCAACATGTCAGGAGCTAACTCAGGGTTTCTTCTGGGCTTCGTGTTGTTGCATGTAGACTTCACAATGTCCGCAGTGTCCCCATCATAACCGTCCCACACTCACAGTGTGTCCGGCTCTGCTGCTCAGATGTTCAGCAGCGACCAGCAGAGCGTTCAGTGTTGCCCCCCCGCTGCCCAGCGGCTCCTGGCGATCCTGCACTGTCAAAACCAACGCACCCTCATAGAGAGAGCCACACTGCTGCCGCAACTCCAGCTCTGTGACACACACACACACACACACACACAGTGAGGGTTTATACACTTTACACAAACACTGATACTGATGATGATGATGATGATACTGATGATGAGGATGATGATGATGATGATGATGATGATGATGATACTGATGATGAGGATGATGATGATGATGATG